ACGGAGTATTTCTCTCAGCCCTAGTCCAATTTCCGTTTGGCAAAACCTTAAAATTAATTTACTGTATACAACGTTGGCGAATTCGTACTTTTAAAGTTTCTATAGTCAAAGAAAACCTAGAACCCTTAAACCTTCCAGGGACTTTCTCTTCCAATACCTATGTATTTTATCATGGGTATTATAGGTAATAGTCTAAAGAACTGTTTGACAATATTTTAAGGACTTCTAAGAATTTTATTACAAAATCCAATAAGCAACACTACCTGATTATTAAATTCTTTCTCCTTATTAAATATCCTATTTCTTGAACGTTGTTCCATATTTATTTTAATATTTTACCTACTAATACCATTTTTCTATAAATTTAAATTAAGGTCATAGTCACTTAAAATGATTTGTAATAATTAATGAGTTAAGTGTAATTTTCTACACTTTCAAATAGCGGTGACGAAAACAGGTTTGATATTTAATAATCCCTATTTAATATATTATCTGTATACATAACAAATGTCGGAAAATTTTCACCTTTAATTCGTTGCATGAGGACCTACAATCAAATTGATTCCCATGTCGTCGACATATACAGCCAAAGTAATAATAGTTTTAAAAATATAATAAATACTGTTTTAGTTGATAATTGATATTTATATGTTTGTAAGCTTATTTTATTTGTTTTAGTTAGTAATTGAAATTTTATCTTAGTTTTATTTTTTTATTGATATGTTATTTTATAGTAATATTCTTTAAATGTCTTGTGTAGTTTTTACCTTACCCTTAGTTCTTTTGTTATAATGTAAGCAATAATGTAAATACCTGTAATGGTGTATCACACCGAACAAGTTTATCTTTTTATATTTTTTTTTTCAACATATAGTTTGTGAATATGCCGATGGTATTTCAGAAATAAATAAATAAATAAATAAATAAATAAATAAATAAATAACAGAAAGTCGTGTTAGTTACTTTATAACTTAAAAATAGATGACGGATTTAGACGTAGAATCTTTTCATTTCTTTCTATCCGAAAAGAAAAACATGACTTAATGAAATCCAAAATCTTTTTACTTAATGCCTCTGATGTTAAACAGAGGTCGCCCAGTCGGCTATAAATTTCCAATTCTGAAACTAACGCAGACGAAATAGCAGACACAAACAATTTATTACTATTAAAAAGCTTACTAGATTATTACATAAACTTTAAAAAATATCAGTTGAAAAAAAAACACTTTTTTTTAATGTTTATGTGTAATTTTTTTTATGATGTGAATTGATATACTAATGCTGTGTATCTATGATAGAGCACGTCATAAAATATTCATGCGATCTATTCAGTTGCTTACCGTTTAATTCACCATATTAGTTATTAATAATGTTCAAATATAAATATTCAGTGAAAGTTATAAACGTTTAAGGCATTATAATAATATTATAAAATTAACTTAATTATTCTGTTCCCTAAGTTAAATAGTTCATTCTTAACTTACTATATGAAAATAAATAAAAGACATTAGGGTGTATAAAGTAGATATTATAAAATATAGACACGCATTTTTATAATATTATACTTGACGGAGACAAAACTTCGCAGCATTCAAATGATTCACCGTGCGGGTAACGGGTCCATTGTTGCAGGGAGAGGAGCTTCAATAGTGCCTGAGACTTGCGACCCAGGTGTAGGTTTATGAAACCCTATGATACCCTATGTATACGCGTAACTCTTCCTAATACGAGAATATATCTGTTATAGGGAAGGGGAAAAATATTGAGTTTTATTATAGTATATATTTTTTTAAGTAATGAATCGTATTGATCTATGTTACATAGAACAAAAATAATGTTCAAAGTTTAAAACAAAGCAATACTTAAACACAGAAATTAATAACATTTTTATAATATATTAAGAGAACAGTAAAACCCTTTTCCATATATGTACATATAATAGTACGGATATTACTGCTAAAATTTGTGAGGACGTTTGCCACTCTGTCACCCAAAAATTGCTTAACGAATTTCGGTAAAACTTTACATTAATGTATCTTAGACTTCAAAACATACTCGTAACATATACTTTATTTTCCGGGAATATAATGTCGTATTTTACATGATGTTATGTGCCACAGACTATATACGCCGCTGCAATATCTATTCTTCTGCACACTTTATACATTAGGTCAGTAAAATATATTAGACTTTTTTATGGCATCTATTAAATAAATGTTATAAAGATAAGAAACATCTCAATTTAAATAACATTTTTTCTTTTTATTTATTTATATTTGTAATTTATTATATATATAGATGGATCCCTAAATATATAATCAAGCTCACATTATCTAAGGTTACGTCAGAGCCATTTAATGAAACCGTTTCAAAATATTTGTAAGTATTAAAGTGACGTATTACTCGTTAACTAAACGTGCTATTTGTACGTGATTCCGGTAATCATGGGTAATAATTGGCTTTAAGTTTTAACCCATTAGCGCATCAAGGTTAATAAATTGATGTAATTTTGGTTGACTTTTAGATTTAATGAAGATTGCTTCTTTTTCATGTTCTAATGTTAACACAAAATAGTGGAATATGAGAAAGTTTTTTTCTTCAGAAATACATTTTAAATTTAAAAATTGTGATTGAAGTATAATATATAGAAGACATATAAAATAAATAAAAATAGAATGAATTATACAAAAGTACATATTAATATTCATATATTATATAAAAAGATTATGTATGACCCGGTCTAAAATATGCATTGAAAGCCTACTAATTATATTATTAGGCTAGAACACGACGTTTAATGATGAATCTGATGTTTAAAGAATCGAAAAGAGAAACTCAACTTTGTTTTAAGTGATTTTAAGAAGATTTTATGAATACATACATATTTCTATAGTATGAATATTAATAAGAATAATGATAAATTGATTTATACTATCTAAAATCTTAGGAATAAATCAATATATAGTAAGTTACGAGGAGTTATTTCTTAATAAGATAATAATAATAGATTTTTTAGGTAATATCATATTACTTTTTTGTTGAGTTACCAGTTTAAGGTAAACAATACCTATATCGGTTTCTTGAAGTAATTTTCACTGCTTCATTTTAAATTCATAATTTTTTATGATTTAAGTATACTATTGATTTATTGAACAATTTTTTTTATATTTTGTTTAGGCTAAAAGACGAGTTTTTGTACCCAACTTAAGAATAAATCAATGTTGTAATTCAGTCATATTTTAACTAATATTAGTTTAATGATATCTAAGATTTTCGTGAGTATTCATTTAAATGAAATTAATATTTGTCGGATGTACTACGCGATTTTTATTTTGATTATAAACTACATACTCCCGACGTTTTGGCTACTTTTCAACAACCGTAATCACGGGTATAAGAGACATCTTGTATGTATGTAGTAGTGTAGTATGTAGTATGTATAATTCGAAAAATATTAGTATTATTAAAATAAACTAATGTTGTAATTAAATCGTATTTTAAATAATATTTGTTTATTTTGCATAAGAAAATGTGCTTTTGATCATCATTCTTAATTAAGCAAGTACAAACAAGTTATTTTCGTGACATCTAAATGTCTCTGTCGTCTGAAACCCATTCGTGTTCCGATTTAATCTAAGGCACTTGGATTTTAATACTAAAACATTTTAGATCGGTTTACGTATGTGTCTTTTGACCCCATTGTTACTCCAATAAAATATCAATTATGTTTCTTTAAAACAATTATTTAAAACGACAATATAAATTATGTAATGCAACTGTATTTTTATTATATTATTTCGTTTTAGTACATAATTTAAATAGTACATACATGTAGAGTGGGGATTCAAAATGATACAACACATGTGAGAGACTTTAAATTGAAAAGAATGATACAATAATTTTGATAAAGATTTTATGTAAGGAATTTTTCTTTTTATTTATATTATGTATAGTCACGTTTATTTGAACCTGATTTTAATTTTCTAGAAATAAATCTGAAACAATGTGACACTTTTTCCTGACTCTGGTTCATCAACTAATTTTTATATTTCATGCAAGTACTATACTGAAATGGTTGTAAGGCTTAATTATAAGTTACGAGATAGTTTAATCTTTTTGATGCTTAATAATAATACATAGACATCATTCAAATACTTTCTTTGTATATTAATATTATAAGTCCGTTTGTATGACCATGTTTCCATTTCTAATTAACGAATCAATAAAAAATTTGCTTGTGTCTTATTTTTTATAACAGTTGCCTTAGTTATATGTAATAAGTATACCAATTCATTTACTTTACTTTGAAGCGATATTGTCGGAACTGTTGCTTATTACTAACATACGAAGTCTTTTTATAATGTGTGCAGATTTATGAATGATAAACTGTTCACTCTCCGTATGTAGTGTGGCGATGCAAAATAATAGTAAATATACAAGGTATCACGCTATTGTAGGGCTTTTATTCTAGATTTAATTTAGAAATAATAATGATAATAATAATCAAGATTAAAAATTTATGTTACAGTTAAATAGAATTGCTAAGAATTTACCATAAAGTAATACATTACATTATTTTTTTATTCACTTTTAAGTATAAATATGTAATATTATTGTGTTCATTGATTGACAGTGATTCATTTTATTTGGTTCCCTTGTGATTGTATTAACATTTAGTTTATCGGAGTTAAATGGTAATTTACAGTAATTTGTTTTGTTTTATTTAAAGTTAAAATTATAGATATAATTGCATAATTTCAATGATCATCGTAAGATAAGTGGAAACAATTTCGATGTAAAAATAAACAGTATTAATTTTCTTGTTATTTATTTAACATAATATTCAATCACATAGTGATTTTAACAATCATATTCTATACATTATAATCAATGTACAAAATCATATTTTTAGGATTTTCCATACATGCTCCTACTTAAGATACAAGATAAGATAATACCGATCAATATTTTACTATATCTAAAATATTTTTAATTAAATTCTAATATTTGTAACCTTCTTCCGGGCTGAAACTTGGAGGTTGACGGGGCCCTTCAAATGTTTCGCCTTTATCCTGATTGTCTCTGTTTATCTGTGTTGTTTGCGAGAAAGAACTTGGACGTTGTGTAGTAAAACTTACACTTGGTCTTTTGTATTGGTAAGGCGCTTCGATTGGTTTTACACTAGAAACAGGTCCTTTCCCGAATTTATTCATTCCAATTCCTTGGCTAGGTGACGATTTGGAACCTTGTTCGGGTTTTTTATAACCACAACAGGGTTTATTTTTATTTAAAATACTAAACTGAGGTGAAACGTTGCCTTGTGAAGAGCCATCTGCTTGAGTGCCTGGGTTCTTTACATACTTAATAGGGAAGGATCCTTTATTTTGAGAACCATTTGGGCCGTTTTGTAATGAAGGATTACTGTTCCCGTTATTTCCACTGACTACTGCAGCGAAAGAATTTTGACTTACTAGTGACTTCTTATTTCCTTCGTTAGATACTTGAGGTCTATATTGGCCTAATACATTTTGTCCCGAAATAGTTGGCTGAAATGCAGGTTTTGGTCGATTATATTGATAACCATTTCCTTTGTCTTGTATTAAACCACTTGAAGGTCGTTTGATTTGTTGCTCTCGATTAAGAAAAAGACTTTCTTTATTCTGGAAAACATTTGGTCTATTATAAGAAGGCCTAAAAGCTGGAAGAATTTGTTTGCCGGATTGGTACTTTGGGGATTGCTCAGCTGAGGGACGGCTCCCAAATGAGGGTTTCAAATTCTGATCTTCACTAAATGAAGGAACTGACGAACTTGGTCTTGCAGAAGATGATATCTTTTGATTTTGGCTAGATATTTCTGGACGATATTGAATAAATGAACCTGGACGGGAATTAGCGGGTTGGAATACAGGCTTTGGTTGATCATAATGATAACCATTTCCTTTGCTTTCTTTCAAGTCTCCAGAAAATTCTTTAATTTGGATTTTTTGGTCTTGGTTAGGGAAAGACCCCTTCATACTCTGAGATGCATTTGGTCCACTATTTGAGGAAGGCCTAAATTCTGGAAGAACTTGTTGACCAGACTGATATTGCGGAGATTGTTCAGCTGAAGGACGGTTTCCAAATGAAGGTTTCAAATTCTGATCTCCATTAAATCCTGAACCTGATGAAACTTGTCTAGACGATGGTGGTATCAGTTCATTTTGTCCGGATAATCCTGGACGATTTTGGTCAAATGAGCTTTGTCCGGAATTAGCAGGTTGGAAAGCAGGCTTTGGTTGATCATAATGATAACCATTTCCTTTATTTTCGTTCAAATCACCAGAGGATTCTTTAATTTGGATTTGTTGGTCTTGGTTAGGGAAAGATCCCTTCATATTCTGAGATGCATTTGGTCCACTATTCGAGGAAGGCCTAAATTCTGGAAGAATTTGTTGGCCAGATTGATATTGCGGAAATTGTTCAGCTGAAGGACGGTTTCCAAATGAAGGTTTCAAATTCTGATCTCCATTAAATCCTGAACCTGATGAACCTGGTCTAGACGATGGTGATAACAGTTCATTTTGACCGGATAATCCTGGACGATTTTGATCAAATGAGCTCTGTGCGGAATTAGCGGGTTGGAAAGCAGGCTTTGGTTGATCATAATGATAACCATTTCCTTTATTTTCATTCAAATCACCAGAGGATCCTTTTATTTGGATTTGTTGGTCTTGGTTAGGGAAAGATCCCTTCATATTCTGAAATGCATTTGGTCCACTATTCGAGGAAGGCCTAAATTCTGGAAGAACTTGTTGGCCAGATTGATATTGCGGAGATTGTTCAGCTGAAGGACGGTTTCCAAATGATGGTTTCAAATTCTGATCTCCATTAAATCCTGAACCTGATGAACCTTGTCTAGACGATGGTGGTATCAGTTCATTTTGTCCGGATAATCCTGGACGATTTTGGTCAAATGAGCTTTGTCCGGAATTAGCAGGTTGGAAAGCAGGCTTTGGTTGATCATAATGATAACCATTTCCTTTATTTTCGTTCAAATCACCAGAGGATTCTTTAATTTGGATTTGTTGGTCTTGGTTAGGGAAAGATCCCTTCATATTCTGAGATGCATTTGGTTCACTATTCGAGGAAGGCCTAAATTCTGGAAGAATTTGTTGGCCAGATTGATATTGCGGAAATTGTTCAGCTGAAGGACGGTTTCCAAATGAAGGTTTCAAATTCTGATCTCCATTAAATCCTAAACCTGATGAACCTGGTCTAGACGATGGTGATAACAGTTCATTTTGACCGGATAATCCTGGACGATTTTGGTCAAATGAGCTCTGTGCGGAATTAGCGGGTTGGAAAGCAGGCTTTGGTTGATCATAATGATAACCATTTCCTTTATTTTCGTTCAAATCACCAGAGGATTCTTTTATTTGGATTTGTTGGTCTTGGTTAGGGAAAGATCCCTTCATATTCTGAGATAAATTTGGTCCACTATTCGAGGAAGGCCTAAATTCTGGAAGAATTTGTTGGCCAGATTGATATTGCGGAAATTGTTCAGCTGAAGGACGGTTTCCAAATGAAGGTTTCAAATTCTGATCTCCATTAAATCCTAAACCTGATGAACCTGGTCTAGACGATGGTGATAACAGTTCATTTTGACCGGATAATCCTGGACGATTTTGGTCAAATGAGCTCTGTGCGGAATTAGCGGGTTGGAAAGCAGGCTTTGGTTGATCATAATGATAACCATTTCCTTTATTTTCGTTCAAATCACCAGAGGATTCTTTTATTTGGATTTGTTGGTCTTGGTTAGGGAAAGATCCCTTCATATTCTGAGATAAATTTGGTCCACTAAAAGAGGAGGGTCTAAATTCTGGAAGAACTTGTTGGCCAGATTGATATTGAGGAGATTGTTCATCTGAGGGAAGGCTTCCAGATGAAGGTTTCAAATTTTGATCTCCATTAAATGAGGGATCTGATGAACTGGGTCTTGACGATGATGATATCTTTTCATTCTCGCTATTTACTTGCGGTCTGTACTGATCTAGTGAGTCTTGTCCAGAAATTACTGGCTGTAATGGCAGTTTAGGTTGATTATATTCATAACCGTCTCCTTGTATGAACTGCTCTGCTAGTCCTTGAATAGGTGACAGGCTACTAGTTTCAAAACCACTGTTTCCTTGAATACCAGAGGTTTGTTGGTATTGATAAGGATTTGGAGTGTACATTTGGTTGAAATCTTGTCCATTTTCCTTATTCTGATTTTGGGCTGATGGATTTACATCTAAACTAGAAGCTATTTCATATTGTTGACCCACAAAATCGAGAGGATTGTTATATTTGTTGTTTATTTCTTGATTTTTGCGTTTATCGATTTCATCTAAAGAAGCAACAGATTCTTGACCTGGCTTTGATGAGTAATTAGCGTTGGATTCATACTCCTCAGGAATGTAAGCTCCTAAACAGAAAACAGCCAATTAAATAACGTTTTATTTTACCTTTTTTTTCGCAATATGGAATATAAAATTACTAACTATTTTTCTTAGTGTTACTTATTATGAATTAAACTAAACTTGAAATTTCATGTTTACCTTCTTGTGTACCAGCAGCAGCAGCTTTGGCATTTTCTTCAATGGACTTTAATATTTCTTCAGGGATAGGGTGAGGAGTAGGTAAATGTTCTCCCTGAGGTTGATAGCCATTTACATCTGCGGTATACGTAACTGAATAGGATTTACCGTCATCGCCAGTATAGGCATAGCCACCTTGAGCGTTAACTCCATTAGTTGCAACACCTGACTCCCCCATAGAAATCCCGTTAGATGTTTCATAATTATATGCATAGGATTCACCATTATTTTCATTATTAAACTCTAAGGTCTCTGCATTTCTATCAGCTGCTGCTTGAGGGCGTTCCTGTTTATAAGCTTGAAAACCTTCTTGTCCAATATCTTGGATATAAGAGCCTAAAACAGTTAGAATACAGTGTGACGAGCAGAAATGGTGAATTTTGGTTTATAGAATCAAGTACAGTTGTAGGTACGTAGCTTAGCAAGAGGCGATAGATGCACAGAATGTGATTATAACATGATAAAGGTATAATAAGGGACGCAAGGACTAAGGCGGCACAATATCGGGACGGAGATTGGATGTTTGCTCCCGGGTATACTTGCGTGCGTAAGTTTTTGTCATTGAAAAGCATCAAAAGTGACCACTTTCCTTCACCAAGTGAACATGTTTAAACCTATCCCCACTCCCCCAAAACCTTACCAAGTTCATACCGGCAATAATACCTTTTCTTTAAATGACTGCATAGTACTTTATATCCATATGGATAACTTTTCTCTAACAATCCATTTGAATTAACACCAAGAGTGAGAATATATCTTTCATTTGAAAAAGCGTTTCGACGAGTTACTTAAACCTATTTTGGCTAATACCTGATTGACTTTCTGGAACAGGCAACCCTTGTCCGAAAACCTCAGACTGATCTGCTGGAGCAACTAATACTCCTGGGCTGCCGCCTGATGATGCAGCATTTGCAGGAGGCAGGTATCCCTTATCTAATTTATCCGCATAGCCATAGGCTATTATTGATAAAACTAGAATCTGAAATGAAATAAATATTGTCTATATATTAAAATTATGATATTAATGGATCGTCAACTCATTAATTATATGTATTACAAAAGTGCGTTATTTTAAATCAATCTAATATTATACTATGTAATTAATTTTTAATCTCAGTTAAAAGAAAATTAGTATAATTTACCAGCTTCATATCCAAAGCTGTATATGATGCTAAGGTTGGAGTGTGAATGTATGTTATGTGTTTCATCCCATATTTATATCACAGAATTCGCTCAGCCTTAACAAACTCACGGCAGTAACCTTTGGCATCGACGTGAATCTTCGGTACACTTGTGTGTGTGACTCTTGCTTAATTTTTGTTGATATACTAATTATTGTGATCTTATACCGCTAATACGAAACAATATATGTGTTTACCCTGGATTCAGTTGTTTTCTGATAGTTGCAAAAGACTTTTAATGCAAAAATTATACTGAATTGAAAGAAATATATTGTTATGATTGTATTTTGTCATACATTAATTCAAAGTTTTATCTTACGTGATCGTTTCTGACTTAATTATTTATTTATTCTGTTATATAAAACTGCGAAAAAAATTTTAATTTGCAAAATAAGGATTATATAATATAGGCTTCGGTACAAAACACTTCTGATATATCAGTCTATTTATAAAGTTACTAATTTTATGTGAGCTACATTTTTTTGATTTATTTTTAAACAGTATTGGTGTTCTCATTACAGTGACGACACAGTGATTGACGTTTAGTTTCGCGTGTTATTTTTTATGATAACACCTTAATATACCCCAAATTACATTCAAGATTACTACCAATATTGTTATTATAATTATCTTTCTTAAATACCACAGTTAAAATCTTTTTTTGGAAGTCAATTATAAACAATATTACATTAATTCGAATGTTTCAAATTGTGTTATCGTGAACTGTTTTCGAAATGTTATTCTATTGCTTTAAGTAATATATTATTTCTATAATGTAATATTATTATGGATGTTTTCTTAAATCTAGGTGGATCTAAAAATTATACAAATGTGTATAACAGAAGTTAAGAACATAAACAAGAATCGATTAAGTAACGTCTTGCAATATCTACAACGAATTCTACAATATCTATAACGGCACTATATAGTTTAATTGTTTTTTCTATGGAGATCTTACAAAAATGGTATCTTTATATTGGATTTGTTTAAGAATTTTCCACGCTTCATACGATCTTTCGGATGTTAAGACAGTTTTTTATTATTGCTCCCATATAATCAATATTTCTACTACATATCGAAATAATAATACTTATTTTTTTTACGTAATCAAAACGATTAAGAATCAATATGTGACAACCCTGTTTTTTTGTATTTGCAACGCCTGTTAACGTCAAATAAAGCGCTTAGGCAAACACTAGGCATATTCTCTTATTAAACCAAATTATAATATATTATATCTTCATCAGCATATTAGAACACTATATCATTCATCAGATGCTTTATCTAAAAATTTCTGGAAAATCTGAACTAACTCCAATACTAACAGTAAGTATGTAAATAAAATACAATATTTTTATATGTCAATGTACCAAAAACGTCTAAATTTAAATATGTTTGTCTATCTTCCTATTGATATTTACTAGTTTGATGTCTACTTGTTTGTCTCATTTCTTCATTTATGATCACAAAAATATGTACAATCACGCTTTCGGACAAACAAACGCTTATAACCAAACGTATAAATCCCTTTATTCTCATTTTTCTAAACACTGTTCACTTATTTTACATTATTTTCGATTTCAATTAGATGTTTGATAGTACTTTTAATTGTATCAATATTTAAAAACGGCATTCTTCTTTTAAGAAGAATAATCTATCAATTTTTTTGATAACAATAATAAATATTACGTATGATAAATTATATATTCGTTAATTTTAGATTCTTACGAATATTCTTCTTCTACCTGGCGATTTCCCAGCTATAATAGCCAGGGTCGCCAGGGTCTGCCTCACATGTTGTGAATATTTTTTGGCTATTTGTTTTTACGACCGGCCGCCGCCTGCCTGACATCCATCCTCTTTTGGGAATCAACAATAATCAGTGATGTCTAAATACTCTTAGAAAGTACATATGATTCGGAAAAATCACACTGGTACTTTGCCCGGGCCAGGATAGAACCCGCCCCTTCGGCGACGAGAGGCCGGCCCTTTAACCACTGAGCCACCACTGACTTAAGAGATTCTTACGAATATTGTTATCCTGTAAATTGATTTATGTTACTAGATTACCTAATAAGTATGGAAATCGTGTAGATAACCTTTTTCTACCATGTATCGTAATATGAGTAACATTCAGAGACTTAAATACAGAGAGAGTGCGTTCACCAACTACGACTTTATTTCCCTCTTTCAACACGTTGAATGTCAGGAAGGCAGTACCTTGTCGAAATTAAAGAAAAACTGATAAAAAATTTAATAAACTGTTACCGCAAATATAAACATCAAAGAATGCTCTTTTAAACTCTCGTTTAATAGATATAAATAATTATATATTAATTTTCCTTCGGTTCAATGTCGTGATGTCTGGTCCCAATTATTAGGTCGCACGAGTAAAACGCAAGTCGGTTTCGTGATCTTCGTCAATGATGACCAGTCCTATTGCTGTGACCTCGACCTTTCTTTACTTGACCTGTGCTTATTGTATTTGTTTGTCACTATCTTTTCATAACAATCTTTTGGTTCCGCCACATTATGTGAAATTGTCGCCTACATAGCTTATAAATGCAACAAGTTATTATGAGATATGAAGTATTTTACACCTTTATATAATTTATCATAGTCTATTTATAAGTCAGTGGTGGCCTAGTGGTTAAAAGGCCCACCTCTCATGCATGGTACGTACCAATGGGCTCTCTAGCACGTACCAATGTGATTTTTCCGAGTCATATGTATTTCTAAGAGTATTTAGACATCACTGATTAATGCATTCCCAAAGAGGGATGATGTCAGGCAGGCGGCCGGTCGTAAAAACAATGAGACAGAACTATTTACAACATGTAAGGTAGACCCTGGCTAAAGCTGGGAAATTGCCAGGTAGAAGAAGTAGAAGATCATAGTCTATTTATCAAAAAACACAAGGTAATTGTTATTAGTTACGGACAGTTTGGCCGTCCTTAACTCAAATTAAGTCTATTTAAATTTGTAAACTAGTGCTAAAGGTATTTTACGGAAGTTATCAACACACAATTTAATTATATATTAAATGAAGAAGCTAATAGAGTATTTTTTTAAGTAGTTATTGCTATCTTATCAGATTATCTACGGAAGTAAAATCAAACTTTAATTTAAGATCATAAAATATATGAACATCAATAAAAACAAAATTGTTTTAGCAATGAATAAAACTTGGTAGAGCATAACTTTTAATAGAACGAAATAAGATTTCTATTACTTTACTGTTGCTTTTCGAACATTGACTGATAGTTTCCAGAATTGTAGAATCATTTTTCTTTGTAATAATAAACTTATGTCTCATCTTCCATATTCCCTATGCCACTTCTTCTTCTACCTGGCAATTTTCCAGTTTTAGCCAGGGTCAGCCTTACTTCTTCTTCTTCTTCTTAGCGTTAATCCCGTCTTGTGACGGGGTCCGCTTTCCTGCTGTTTTTCTTCCACTTCGCTCTATCATGGACATCTTCCTCATCCAGATCGCAGTTATACATGTCATTAGTGACGACGCTTAACCATCGCAATCGCGGTCTTCCCCTTTTTCGCTTGCCAGGTAAATTGCAGTTAAGCGTTCTATTGCCTATGTATTGAGGTGGTCTTCTTTTAACATGTCCATACCATCGTAGTCGGTTCTCCTGTAGTTTGTCGGCGATGTCGCGTATCCCGAGGCTACCACGCACGTACACGTTGCGGATCTTGTCGAGCCTCGTCACTCCGCACATCCACCTCAACATTTTCATCTCCGTCACACGAATGGTATCAACATGTTTTTTTGTAACAGCCCACGTCTCGCTTCCATATATGAGAACCAGGGTCAGCCTTACATTTTATGAATAGTTTTGGCTAATTGTTTTTATGCCCGGTCGCCTGCTTGACATGAACCCTCTTTTGAGAATGCATGAATCAGTGATGTCTAAATAATCTATTGCCAAGCCACTACTGGATTAATATTCTTAACTCTATGGTAAGTAGACGCGAGTAACCATCAATATAAAAATCCCCCCTATTTAAACCTTTAAAATTCAATAAATCGTATCTGAATTTAAAACCATTTTGTATTATAAGATGTGTAATTCAATACTATTTAAATACGGTTATAAAATAAAAATGAAATTATATATCATTTAGTACGACATTTCAAACTCATAAACTAACGATTCCATCAGAATTCATTTCGATATATTGTATATATTCTTCATATTATCAATAGCTTTTAATATTTAATACAACATTTCTATTGTCAAGGTTGTATCAATACTTGACGAGTATATCCAAAAATGTTACTAAATCCGAATTGAAAGTCTAGATCATATAAACGAATTCTTTATGCAACTATTTTTTTGAAGTAGTTTTTATTCAAGTAGATCTTTCGATGTTTCTCAATATTTACAATAATATATACAAATATATATTACTATACATGTAAAATGTTTTAGTTCAGACTTTTGTTCTTCATTAGTTCAGGAAGTGTGACTTTAAAATGGTACATTAAGGAATAATTTTTAAAAGAAAACATTGTTAAAACAAATTTAATTTTTTATGTATCGGTACTGTACTTTTAAGCAGATAGCATAAAAAAAAACTCAATTTAAAAAAGGTGTAATCACCTTTTTTAAATTGAGTTTTTAATAACCAAGCAATTTTTAACTTATATCTTTCCAAATATATAGAACAGACATGTTTGTAATTTCGAATAAGCTACTTTCCATTCACAGTATTTATAAATATACACAATATCGCCTCAAAATCTGTAATTCAAACGATTTTGTTTGTCTCTCTGTGTATCTGTCGAGCGCAGACCTATTCTGAAGGAAATTTGATTCAATAAAGATAATGTCACAAAGAACAACTTAGGCAATATTTAAGCTATAAAAGAGGAACCTCGTAAATGAATTAAATGTTAGTTTCGTTTAATGTTTGTAAAGCCTTAACTCCCTTAATCAAAAGTTGATTTTGAAAACCATTTTAAACAATAGCGCATCGTCTTGAGGTAATTATAAGTATTATTACAAAGTCAAGATTTGTTTAAGAACTATTCTGAAAAGCAAACTTCATAATGATTATAACGCTTGTAGTATATGGATTTTATATGAAGCAACGCCTCAGGCCACAGTTAGTGTATTTGTTATGTATTCACGGTGAATTAAATTATACTTTGTAAAACAGATTTGACTATAAAAATGTGCCTATCGGTTGATGATATAACAACAACAAAATTATTCGTATTCTATTAATAAAAGTAAAAGAGGATACAAAAAAATACTTAACTTACGAAAACTTATTATTTTGAACTGTTGTGTCTTGAAAAGTATAAAAAAAACAAGTAATATACGTAATTAATACCAAATATCAGTAATTCAATTAATATGAAAATATTGAATAAATAGAACTATTTTGAATAAAATATATACCATTTTCACTTATTTCCTTTGCCCATCTACAAAATAATTGATACTTATGATTCAAATTCAAAACTATAAAAATGTCTTTGAAGACGTAATTACGTTTGTAAATAAAATTTTTCCTTTCGTTTTGGTTGTTATGTTACCTAATAAATTAAATGCGTGGTTGACAGACAAGAACTGATCTTTATTTTAAAAACCTAAAGACTTACATACTTTACGCTAAATGGCGCTACTAATTCCTAATGAGTGATATTGTCGATACAAAATAGACATAAAATAACATGTTTCTATAAAGTAATAACTAGGATTTGATTTTATATACGATCACATTAAGATTATAATTCTCAATAGACATCAAATTATTATCGAATCACTCATACAGTCTAAACTTTAATTGAATATGTATTTTTACAAATTTCCCGAAATCAACCAGTTTACCCAACATAATTAGACTCCTTATGCCTTTGAAACTAGAAAATATTAATTGCGGTCCATTTTTTGTTTATCAGAGACCACTTACTAACAACAAAAACACAAAATCCTGACAGATCAATGTGAAGCTTCGACCTTGAAAAAAACGTTTTAACCGACACTTCGGAAACTACATTAAAAGTTATTAAACTATTATTATGTATACAGAGAAAATAATCTTTTATTTCTTGTGTACTGGCCCATTTATCCATTTTTATCTGATTCGACATATAAATCTTAAATTATTAAATTCATTCATAAATTAGATAGATTTATTGCATGTTATAAAAATCATTTTATAATCTACAACTACAACTTTTATTTACAATTTTGTTGGAGTTTTCAAATTAATATAAAAGTTTTTGTTCAAAAAGTATGAAAATTAGAAAAAGGATTAGGTACTAATAAATATTTTTTTTATTCATTATTCTTTATACTCATTTATTCATTAATATAACTTTAAAGATATATATATTGGTATATATGTAAGTACATAAATTATGATCTGTTGAAATGAATAAGCAGTTCCTTAAATAGGCCATTGATCGTAACGAGTAAGTTCTATAAAAAAGTTAAACAAATCAAGAGATGTGTGAAATTATAATTTCACAACAATGGTCTGATTAATATTTGATCTAGAATGAGTTATATCTTTTAAAATTTTGTATTTTAATAGTCATCAAGTCATCCCTTACACTCGGAACGAAATAAACTTGAATCGAAAACTTTATGCGTGATTGACAAAAGAGAAACAGCTATATTTACTGACCTCCTTCTAAAACACACGAAATCTTACAGTACGAAATTTTATGTATGGATATCGACAACAACTTTCTTAGTTTCTCTTGTTTGTTAATAAAAACAAAATGTAGGTCTATGTAAATGTTTATATCTCTATACGCCTGATAAGACTTAAATAGCAAGTTACAATGTCTCCGGGTTTGCTAAATACAAAACGTGATTTTGTTTATGATAAAATTATGAAGTTAAGATAGGATAGTTTGTTTATTTCCTCGCACCACGTGTTTAATATAATTAATTAAAAGTATTCAAATTTATACAGACATATATGTATATATTCATATTAAACAATACCAGGTATAATAAAAATTAAGTATTATAATAGTTTTATTTTTATAAGAACAGGATATGTACTATAAAATAGATCTTAAAATGTTGCTCTGTTGAAATTAAACTCCAGGCGTTTCCACAATAAAGATATTTATGTATTATGTATTTTTTTTTCAAAAATCCATTTCCTTTATTCTTTATAATATCAAATATTGGGTTTTGGCGGAACTTAACCTATGAACGGCGTAGCTGACACTTCATCAGCCATGTTGAAGAAACGAGCCCCTGTTGAGATAAGGTGTGAAATAATTTACACAAATTTCAAAATATGTTATATAAAACACCCTGTATCAACTTAAATCAAACTCAAGATTTCCCACAAATAGAAAAAAAAGTACGAATTTTAAATAATACTTTTTCTAGCTAGTTTAACTCGTTCATGTAATAAAGTTTTGAGCTTTAAATTTGCATTGTTGGTACTGTTGTTTATTACCAGCGGTCCACGATAGGTAAGAGACGTCCTAAAGACGTCTTCTTAGACTCTCTTTTTTATTAAAATTAAATAATAAAAATTAAGCTTACATATAATATAATATTAATATAAATACGAATAACGATATACCAGAATATTGAAAAATAATAGTTTTGGCCTGCATTCTAACAACTAACAACAACTACTACTAACTGTAGTTTCAACTTTTGGGGTGTTTTGTGTATATAAATCATTGTAGGTACCAGCCAAATGTGTACAAAAGAATTCATTCAAAGCCTTCCAGCCGTTCAGAAGGAGTTCAGTTGTATAATATAGTAATATACAGGGTGACTGGTGAATTACTAGCAATATTTAAGGAGCATACTCGGTACATGATTCTCATTCGAATTATGTAAAAAAAATGGGTACTTAATTTTTGACCAAATTTCCGTATAAATAAATAAAGTGTATACACGTTCCAAGTGTTCCAAGTGTGGACGCGTGCGGCGGCGTGCTGATACAACAACACACCTCCGCGCGCGTATGTGTGAGTGTGTGTGTATACCTAATCTGTAGGGTGTTCATACGATGCGTAATTAATTACATAACTTTTGGTTAATTTTACTTAGAAGTTTATTAATATTTATGTTATATTAATTTTTATTTTGTCATATAACATCGTCAAATATCACGTCCTCAAATATCGATAGTAATTCACCAGTCACCCTGTATATATGTATAAAGATCATACATAAATTCATTTTATTTTGAAATACCATAACGTTCCCATTTCAGAATCTACCATTACGAATACAAAGAAGACATGCAAAAGAAAGATTCAAGTAAAGTCGAATTGTTTAACTTAAAGATTCAAATGATTCACTTTTAGAGCTGTTTAATCTTTCTTAAGATAATTTAAAAGAATCTACAAATACTGATAACATATGGATAGAGTATATTTTTTTTCATATTTATAAAATGATTTTTTTTATTCCGTGTTATAATATAATACACTTTTTTAAGTTTACTCCGTAGTCGTATGATTTCCATGTATTCATATCCTTTTATCTTTTAATTTTTACTTTTCTGATACATTTCAATTTTGGAATATACATTCTGAGATCTTTATGTACATTCTCTTCATAATCTACTTATCAAAATGTTTAGTTAGAGGAAACTTTTGAGATTTAAAATCTGATTACATATGAATAATTTTCTTTACGGCAAGGTTAAAAGTGTTTTTTTTATTACTCGTACTATTATTTTGCCTCCAAAAAATGTGACAAACTTAAACCACGGTACGATTTAAAGATGTGAAATGTAACCCAAAATTAGAAATATTGGTGTTTAAAAGAAATAAACGAATTATATATTTTTATATTTTTTATTTTGTAATACGAAATTACAGAATTTTTACCTTTATTAGCTATGTACATAATAATTTACTACATAATATTATTTATACAATAGAACTTAATTCAATATTCCCCATCCCATTTTGTTCGACATTCTTACTTGTATTTATTACACAGACCATTAATTACTTCTAGTAGTGATATCCTTTTTCGTCGAAGCTAGGTGGTTTCCTAGGTCCTCCGAAGTTTTCTCGTTGTTGGAAAACTTGAGTAGTTGATTTTTGAGATTCATAATTTTGATTACTAACAATTTTCTTTTCAGATGCAATTCCACTATCATCAGTGCTTTGGACTGCTGATGATTGCTGTTTCCGATTTAAAAGTCCTCTGCAACATGCACTATAAAACGATAATTGCGGACGAGTGGTGAGTTTCGAATTAGTTCCAGTAGTGGAAGAATCCTGAGAGGTAACTGCTGTAATGTCGGTTTGAGAATCCTTATTTTCCTGATAATCTGGTTGAGTTACCATTGATGTGATCTTGAAGTCCTCCGTTTGTGTGGTTAGCTTTTCATCATCTTGATTTGGATTAAACGTGGTTTTCTGAGAGTTAAGTTTGTCCAATCTCTGTCCAAACTGGTGGTTTTGTATTTGATTCAAAGCATTGTTTTGAGAGGGGGTAGTTAAAATTTGAGCTGGCTTGGAATAATCATAAATCTCACCCGACTGTGAGCTTGATCCAGGTTTAGCCTGTGCCAGTGAACCCGAACTAAACGCAGCATTTGGTTTCAGAATAATGTTAATTTCCTTTTGTCCTGCAGACATTAACGTTACATTTGGCTTTTTATAATCATATATTTCACCAGTATTTTCTTGATTCTGTAAATTAATGTTATCCTGAGAGGTTTGTTGTGAAATGCTAGGCATTGTTATCTTGTAAAATGACGGCGTGACAGTTTGTTGAATTCCTTGTGAAAACTGAGAACTTGTGACTGGTTTTGAATTAAACTTGTTTTGTAATACTTTCATGCCAAAATTGTTACTATTAAAATATTTTTCACCAATTTGTGTAGACAAAGAATTTTCTGTTGTTTCTTCAGTCTGTGATTGTGTCATAGTATTATAGTTGTTCTGTTGAGAGGTTGATATGAATTGTACAGGTTTTGTATACTGATAAATAGTCGGCATATCATTGAATGTAGATGAAGTTTGAGAAAATTCAGGCATTTCAGTTTGTCTTTCAAATTCTATTTTGTCGAATCGAGTGGTAAGTTTATCTTGTGCCTGAAAACTATCCATAGTTTCAGTGTAGCTTCCCGTAAACGAGGTGGTAGGATTTCTATTTGATTGTCTATTGAATTGAGTTGTAGGGATATTTGATCCAAACCGTTCCTTTACAGAAGTTGTTAAAATTTGAGATGGTTTAGTATATTCATAAATTTCAAACTGAGGTGTGGTTTCTGAATCTCTGGTTTGGGTATTTATTTCTGATATGTCTGTAGGATTCCGCATGTTAGATGTTGTAAGTTTATCTTCAGCTTCAAGAGTTGTTTGTTGGAATAATGATGACGTAGTTTTTTTTGTCGAAGTCTTCATTTTGAGTTGCATCTTCAAATGAAATTTGTTCTTTCCGTTTTGACGAATCATTTTCTTGTACATTAAGCTGTGTTGTCATCCCAAACTGAGTGGTTAACTGACTGTCTTGCTGATTTACCATTTGTTCATTGCGAGATCCCAGTGACTGTGTTGGCTTATTATACTCATAAATATTTGTAGTATACTGTTGGGTCTGTGAGTTATTTTCTTCCATTCTATTCTCAAATGTGGAAGATGATTCTGATACTGTAGTTGTCGTCAATTTAGTCGGTTTTAAAGACTGTATAGGTCTGTAATAGTTTTGTGTATTTTGCTGTACGGTGGGAGTAGATGAAAATTTACTCGAAGATTCGAAATTTGACAAAGAGGGAGATATCGATGGGAAAGACGATATAGAAGCTTGAGTTATACCATTTGTGGGTAGTTGACCTTTATTTTCAAATACTGTAGTTGGTGCGGAGGGAGTGTAATATTTATTGGTATTGAATCTATTTGTAATGTCACTAAAGGTTGTCGATGTCATTTCTTTACTGCTGTCAGTTTTAAAATCGGTGGCGGTAGCTTCCTTATTAAATTGATAAGAAACGGTAGTTGGAAACTTTTGAGAATTTCTTTCTGGTGGGAAGAACGCTGAGTTTGAAGGCTTTGACGGTTGATTGGTATTATAAGAACTGGTTGAGACTTGTGATTGCTGATTAAATTGAGTGGAACTTGGGGTTTTAGTGCTCTGAGAGAAGTCAATATTGTTAGGTCTAGTCGAAGTCATTGGTGGGATGCTTTCAAACTTATTAGTATTGGAATCATAGTTTTGACTTTGTGTACTAAAATTTTCTGACGACAGTTGAAAAGAATTTGTTACTTTTACGTCATTTTTGTTACTGCTCGTTGACGTGAATTGGGATGGTGTTGTTTTAGAATTAATATTTTGTGTTTGAGAAAAGGGTTTGACACTGAGTTCGGAAGTGAAGTCCGTGTTTGTCGTGTCAGGCGTGTTTGCAAAAGTTGAGCCTGTGTATTGTGCTTGAGTAAAACTTAAACTTGAGTCTTTATTGTCGGTTTCTGTTGAAATTGACTCCAAAGGAGTTGTTAAAGTTCTTTCAGGTTCTTTTGCAGAAATAATAGGCTTCGACGAAATCAATAAATTACCTGCATTAATTGTGTCACTTGACGGTAGAATATTTCCTAGACGAGAAGGAGTTGAAATAGAAGATTGTAAAGAACCTTGAGGTAGACGAGTGGTTTGTGCGAACTGGTTGTTAAAACCGTTTGAACCCAAAGTAGTTCCAGAAATTATCTGTTCGTTACTTTGTTGCGTTGATTGCATATATTGTGGACTAGTATTTTTATTGATATTATATGTTGGTAATCTTTGCATCGGTGCCAAAAATGATTGATCGTTGTTGCTTGGTTTGTTTTGATTACTTTCTATCGAGAAACTTGTTCCTAAATTTTGATTAATTTGTTGTTTATTTTCTGAAGATACCTTCTCAGATATCACTGATGATATCGAAGTATCGTAAGAACTTGGCCTTGAACTATCTAGTTGACCTTGTCCTAAATTCATTGTTTCCTGAAGTGCTTGCTGTGAAAGAGGCTTTACGGGACTAAAACTGCTACTGCCGTTCATGCTCGTAGACGAGGAGTCAAAATTAGAAGAAATTGAATTTTGGGCATTCTGCTTCTGTGAATATTCATTTTTTGAGCCAAGTTGAGCATTTATGTTCATCTGGTTTTGTCCAAAACCACTTCCTTTATTTAAATCTGCTCCGAATTTATTCACAGCACCAAATTTCGAGGATTCAGTTTGTGTACCAAACAATGCTGGTGGATTAGGTCTGACAGCAGCTGCTGGGTTGTTATTCATGAATCCTCCATTCATATTAGCTACGAGACCAGGTTGAGCATTAAACATGTATGTTTGTCTGTCATCATATTTATTATTGAAATCAGTTTGCTTATAATCATTATTATTGTATTTTCGTGCATCGTATGAGCCTGTAAATAAAAAATGAAAGCAGTTAGTCATGTGTCAACGCCTCTGTCAACAATTAATCAAAAGGCGATACATTTATCACTAACAATAGGTGTTTAAGTTGATCACACTGTTGATTGTGAGAACGTATAAGTATTACTAAGACGATATTATTAAGAAAAAGGTAATACATTATATATTTGTATATATTCCGATATGAAGCAAGAAATATGACATTTATATTTGATTCATACTTATATAAAATCGTACTTAAAAATATTAATGTATATTTAAATGTGTAAAGATTTAAAAACATTATAATTATTGAAATTATTCTATAAACAATAACAAGCATAATAATTGAAATTTCTTTTCTAACTGAATACTATTCGAGTGTAAATAAAGAAAAGTTTTACTTTAATCTTAACAAAAATGAAAATAACTGATCATAAGATACAAACTTTAAAATTATACATTTTGGAATATAAGTTCTGAAATTATATTAAAATTGATAATATATGTAAATTTCACGAATAAACAAAATCATTTCGTTTCAAATTCAAGTACCTAAATATCTATATAATAAATGTAACCAAAAAGGTTGACTTAATACAACTGACAAACGTAAAGTCACAAGACACTATTGTAATGATTATATAGACTAACATAACCGGGCTCGGGGACATTTTGTTTTTTTTATATATGTTTTAAATAACACTAGTTTACGTCAAAGATAGTTAGCAAGGTTAACTTCAATAAAGACTCCTTTCGAAACTTCAACATTACAATTAATAAAGTGATCACAACAATATCTTCACATGTAAACAATTTCCTTGTAAGGTATTGAAATCGAAAGAAATATAAATATTACTATGAAATATATAAATGACTAAAAAAAAGGGACTAATTTATCAGCAACTAGAATGCAAGCTGTATTCAATAAATAGATTATTTTTTTCTAATAAAAAGTAAGTGAAAAGTAGAAGTCACTTTTTATTGTGTATTTATTATAAAGTAATTTAACTTTTACTGAAGAGAATAAATTATTCATAGATTAATTTTTCTTTTCATATATATATATAAACGAAAAGAAAGATTTCTTTAGGAGTCTGTTAACAGTGACTTTGAAAGTTTTGACTAAAATGAATTGATTAATAAGATTAAGTTTAAGGATATAGCTGTTGGAAGTTATTTTATAATTTAACGTTTTAATAAAAAAAAACCTTTTTAGTTAACAATGAACGAAAATCGCTGTTTTAAATCTAGTTTTTTAGTAAATAATTTCTTATATTTCACAACAAACAATAAAATATATCGTATATAACCTATTTTATACAAATGTTTACTATTTGTAATAAAAACTATATATCAAGGTTATTCACAAACATCAAAACTAGTGTTTGAAATTAATTTAAACTGCAATAAATTTAAGGTTGTTGAATCGTTAACCGTTATGTTTTAATTGTCGTTCATATTAACCATAGTATAACTAACACGATTCTATAATTGACAGTCCGAAGAGCGATGATATCAAAACTAACAAGGCTTTATTCACTATCAAAATAATGTATAAGAAATTAATTATGCATACATATTTACATATTACGTATCTATTACTGGTATCGAATACTTTTTTGCTCATAGGTTTGTTTAAATAACTTTCATTTGTTTTTGTTTTAAATATAATATGATAAATTAAAAAGATTATCTTTGACAGAAACATTTATTCTTCATATACGATTAAAGTGTCATTAGATGATTAAACTATTAAAAATCAAAGCTTATGAAGCTTCTGTATATAGAGGCTTTACCATAATATTAATATTTGATAGCAAATTTTAATGCAAACATCGTGTAGTAAATAATTCACTGTTAAGTAGTAATTTAAGCTTTGAATTACTCACCATCCTCAAAAATACCAGCTGCTTCATCTCTCATATTCTGCTCCAATGCCCTCAATATTTCCACTGGAATAGGTGGTGGAGTCGGGAGGTGGCTACCCATCGGTCGGTATCCTCCTTCATCAGCGGTGTAGACGACACTGTACACTTTCCCATCATCACCCACATAGGAAAAACCTCCTTCAGCTTGAACACCATTGATGGCTACTCCATTCTCCTCAGCTTTTATTCCATTATCAGTCTCAAAGCCATAGCTGTAACGCTCGCCGTTGTTTTCATTGTGGTACTTAATAATACTAGCCCCACGGTCACGTGTAACCTGAATTTCAGATCTCATAGGTTTCTTCGGCGTATTGAAAGCTGATAGGTCGGGGTTGTAATCCAAAATCGGGTTCGTTACTTGAACCTGGCTTGTACCTCTGAAGGCTGCGTCCCCTACCTTAGAATCCATTGATCCATATGTAGCTCTTGTAGCTCCTAAACCGGATTGGGCTGCTCTCGTGCCAGCAGAAGCAACATCAATGACAACCCCATCATGTTCATTAACGAAGCTACCAAATGGCAGTTTCTCTATTTCAGACTTGGCAATCGGAGTTTGTATTGAACCTGGACTTCCACCAGCCGTTGCAGCAGATGCAGGAGGCAAATATGTAAGGTCTAATTTCGCAGCATTACATGCCACTATCAGAGCGGCAAACAATACCTGAAAAATGTACGACCTATGTCAATATACAAATATAATAAATCAATAAAAGTTACAACTTTGACTTCCATACAAAAAAATTATATATAATAAAAATTTTCATATAATTATAAAAAAATTCTAAGACACTAAAATGAAATTGATGTAACAAATTGATCCAAATTAATTTATTAAAAGACTTTACCAAGTTCATTGTAATCCTGACGCTTTGATGCTGCTACAATGATATATTCACACGCACTGATGCTTTTGACACGGACATTTCCTTTATATACGTTTACCAAACTCATCCAAAAACGAGCTCAGGATATGCATCGGATGGAGTTTTTAATAATTAACAATTACACCTTATTTCAATAGCCATAAGGTTGTTTATCGATAACTTCAGACAATTACTAGAGTATATTGGACGCACAAGTTCAAGGGGCAGAAATATTTAATAAAAATATGTTTAATTGCAATAGTATCAGTTTTAATAATGATCACGAACGTTCAGATGGAATCGTGATATGTTTCCATTAATTAAAGTAAAGGGCAGATGATTCAAATGTGCTATGTCAAGGTGCTCTATAATTTTTAATTTTATTCTATTCTAGGTGTAAATCAAATTATTTAGTTTTGTAGAGGTTAAATTGCTACAAATAAACTTAACTATAATATAGTCTTGAAGTCATTTCAGTCAGCTTAACAAAACTATGAAGCCTGTAACAACTTTTTTATTACAGGCAATAAAATTCTATACGCTGATAATGTTTAAAATATTTTATAAATTTAGTTAGTTTAATTTAACCAAATTACTTCGACATTAATATAGTTATTGAGATCGAACTTTATATATAAAAGCTAGTAACAAAATTTACTTAATTCACCACGAATTAATGTATGAAAAATATGTCGATAAAATTAATTCGGACAAATGTAGCAATATGAAAATAAAGAAAGGATGTCATGCTATCAGTAATTAAAAATATGTCATTTCCCTGATTTTTAAAAGTACTTTCACACAAACACAATATAATATACAAACATGATGCTTATTATCAACAGATTTGTAACGCTATGCCTTTATAAGTTGACAAATATTCATATATACTATTGAAACAGCCCGACTTCCATTGAAAGTTCTACAATGTATCGTAGCTGTCATTTATAATCTATTATAATAGGATAATAAATTATTTTACCATAGTAGAATAGAAAATGGTCTACGTCAACTTTCTAGTGGGACCCTAATCCCAAATCGAAAGTACTTAGCAAAACGCTAACATTATGTCAAACGTGACGACAAAGGTATTGAAATGACTTATAATAGACTATGTAGGTTTATTTAGTAGTACTTAATATAGTAACATATGCATGTAATTTTGAAACTATCGAAAACTTTGAGTAAAACAATTGCTTTTCAAATAAATTGCCACCAATTAATTCATTCTTTAATTTCTTATACAATTGCGTTAAAGTAATGTACGTGCATTCTTGACCAAGATATGTATGAGAGGAAATAAAGTGTGGGTGGAACGAGCAACCATCACAGATCATTATAAAGATAAGCAAGGTTTTGAACTTACATGTCATATTAGGGAAAAATCTGGACACGATCTTAATCTCAACCAGATAAATCTGAAACGTAGATGTATTTTCAATTCATCTCACATTATATTAAAAACTGTAATTGTTCATTTAAAAGTAATAGAAAATATTTTTTCTATATTTTCATACGATCTTGAAAAATTTAAGTGTGTTAAACATGACAAAAAGCCCATTCAGAAATAACTAATAGAGTTACTATAGCAATTATGATTATTAAAACTCGTTGATGTATATAATGTAACACAAAATTAATGTAGTCCCTATTTTAATTAAAACATCTCTACTTAAGAAAGAAACTAAAGAAAATGCTAGAATAGTTTATGAGACTTACTCATGCAATAAACTAACAACAAATATTAAACTTATTTTAATTTAAGCATTCAAAAGCAAAAACTATGATAAATCACTTATTTCTTGTTATTTATAACTGGTACATTAGCTAAAGCAGATTTGTTTCAATCAAACTATAAAATGCATTTATTGTAATATCTGTTTTAACTATTGTGTTGTAGCGTTAAATTTAATTTGGAAGTTCAATTTTAATTAATAAGTGTAGTTAGTAGTACATTTTTTTTTCGGACTTTTTAGTAACATAACTTGACTTTCTAAACATGAAATTGTTTATTAAACAAATACAAATGAATTTTACTTTTATTTTATATAAAATAACTGAAAATGATTAAAGTTGCTAAATGATAGCTTGACATAATATAATATACCGAACATGTATAACAATTTGGAGGTCATTTGTCCTATTTTATTAAAAATTAATAAATTTATTATATTACTAATCAAATGTCTTTTTGTATATAGCCATACATTTTATTTCCCCAGAAGTATGCATTATTCTTTAAGTAGTATAAAAAGTGTCTTATTTTTAAAAAGTTCCGGTTTTCATTAAAGTTTTCAATAATTGTTTTAATGCCTCTTGTTTGACATTTCGATTTTTATAAAAAGTTAAAATTGTACATATTTTGCTATAAATCTTAATATCTTTACTGAGTCTATTTTGGTAAAGAAAAACACATTTAAAAACATTTATAATAAAATAATATATGTTTTAAAACGATAAATTATATATTTTATAATTGCATTTTCCCTCACGATTATTTTCTAATAATATCACGACTAATACTGGTATTTTGCTACGCAATTTCGATGTTGGATTCTGATTTCATATGAAAGTTAATGTAGATAATTTTCTTGTTACAGAGAACTAATATTTACAATCAGAATTATAACTTCATTACTTTATGTAATTGGACAATAATTTTTACATTATTTCTTACATGAGACTCAAAATATTCGTTTTAAAATTTGTTTTCTTTGGAAATTTACTTGAAAATTTTGCTGTTGTAATTGAAATATTTCAAACAAATAGAATTTATATATATAAGAAAAATAGTAACAAGAGGTATAAGGAACAGAAACTATATCAGTAAATTTTAAAACTTTTTGACATTTTCACATTTTAGTCTTCAGCCTTTTAAAATAGCTACATACTTCAACATACACAATAACAAATACCTCTGACTTTATAATGTTACTGTAACAGTTATTTCATTGTAATAATGGTAAAGGTTACAATTAAATAACCCGCTAGTAAATTTTTGACCCGCATGCAATCAAGGGATCAAAAACAGAGTGGCCCATCCATCATAAAATATGACGTGTTTGAAACTTGAAAAATAAATGATATTGATTTATAAATAGTATATTTCAATGTCACGATAAATTTTATATAAAAAATAAAGCTCTTTTATTTTTCATATTGAATTTATATGAAAAATAAATAATGTTATACAAATATATCTTTCTATGCGATAAACAATTTTAAATTTCAATATAGTCATCATCAGCTTTTGGTGTCCAAAGGCGTCTTCTCACCTGGAGAAGGTTGGAGCATTAATCACCATGTTTGCTCAAGGCGGATTGCCGATTTCAAAAGTCCAGATTTCCTCACGATGTTTTCCTTCACCGTCTGTCAGTGGTGTCTAAATACTCCTAGAAAGTACATGTTAAACTCGGAAAAAATCATATCGGTACTTGCCAGGTTCCGAACCCGTACCCTCATTCAACGAGTGGCGGATCTTAACCTCCAGGCCACAACTAATTGCCATATACAGCTACTTAATCAAGCAACTGCCAATTTTTCCATAGTATAGTAAAATTATATATATTATAAGCATACATATTTTATTTATAAAACTCAAAGAGACGATCAAATAAAATATAAACTAATAAATTTTTTCTAGAAAAAAATTGCATCATAGAGAAAAATTATATAATTTTTTTTATACCAAAAAAAATATTCTTCTATTAAAAAAGCATGCTCTATTTCAAAATGCAACCACTGCATTTTTATACTTAAATCCTATGTACCTTTTTATATATTGCTTTTGGTGATACGAAAAATTTATCGTTAAAGCACACCTTGAAATTATTTGTTTTGTAATTGTGAGAATAGAACGCGTGCATATAAAAAATCCTAGATGAATCATACAGTTGTAACGAATTTGCAATGTATTATGAAGCTACCGGTTACCCATTATTAATGTATAATTGTTAATATTCACGGTATTTTGTTCAATGAAAGTTGTTTTGCTACTTATAGAGTTTAATCTTTGTTTTATTTACAATTCAAAAAGAAGCTTGATATTACTGGTCGTCGTCCTTAAGCATTGTAATAAAAAAAATATATAATAATTTTGATTTAAAGCAAAACATAATTTATAAGCATCACTTTTTTTATTGCTTTCCATTTTATCGTTTATAAATAGTAATTAATTATATATCATTTTGTTTTTATACGCATTCTTATATTATTTCATGCACTTATAATTACTATGTTATAATTTAATTCTTATTGATTGAATTTAAATAAAACAAAGGTGGACCAGTAGTTATCAGTTAATCATTTTCAATACTAGCATCAGTAATAGATACGTTTGAACATAATTTTAAATGGAAGCTTTAAATTATTACTTTATACAAAAATCTATTCTAATATACTTTGACTGCTATTTCATAATTAAGATAAATTTTAATTCATTTTCTTATTTGTTGCTTATAATATATCAAACACACACATATATATATATATATATATATATATATACGTATACATATATACGTATATATATATACGTATGTATATATATATGTATATAATGGTAATATGTTTTGTTGTAACATAGTTAATATATAAAAATAACCATCGAAACTTCCGGATATATATATATTTTAGTTAAACTCATATAAAAGAGCATTGAATGACATTTAATTTTATTTTTTTTTTTGTATATAATAAGTGTATATTCATACCTCTCAACGTTTCAAGGCTGAGTGTGAACTGTTTTTTTATTGACTCATTCTTTAATTAAGATTTTAAGAGCTTTTGTTTTTAA